CCCTCTCACACACACGCCGCCCCGCCCGCTCTCCCGCCCGCCCGCCCGCGCCATGACCCGACCTGACGTACAAGAGTTTTACTATCCGAGTCTCCATTGTTAGTTCAGCTTGATTTAGGATAACAGGGAATAACGCCGGGGAATTGCCCTGCGACGTGACCCCGCTGACGAGGGAGGGGGGAAGGGGGGAGAGGGGGAAGGGGGGGAGAGGGGGAAGGGGGAAGGGGGAGGGAAGAGAGAGGAAGGGAGGAGAGAGAGAGAGGGGGGAAGGGGATAGTGGGATGTGGTACAGGGGTGGGGAGGGGGGAGGGAGAGGAAGGGGGAGGAAGGGAGAGGGAGGGGTAATGGGGAGGGAGAGAGAGAGGTAGGATCGGGTAGAGGGAGGGGGGAGGGAGAGGGAGATGGGAAAGGAGAGAGGAGAAGGGAGATGAAAGTGGAACAGAAGGATGAAATAAAGGAGGGAGGTGGAGAGAATGAGGAGGGGTATTAAAGGAAGGGGGGGTATGAGGGCAGGATGAAAGAGAGGAGGGGTGAGAAAGATAAACCACGTTAATAAAGGAAACAATACAATTACAATCAATATGAATATCTTTATGTGTTTTCTTTGTTATTAATGGAACTATAAATCATCCCTGTTATGCGAAGATTTTTGAGTGTCTAATATTCTCTGTTTACTTTATTAAAACCCATGTCTCTATTGCAGTTGAAATCTCTCTCTCTCTCTCTCTCTCTCTCTCTCTCTCTCTCTCTCTCTCTCTCTCTCTCTCTCTCTCTCTCTCTCTCTCTCTCTCTCTCTCTCGTATATATATATATGTGTGTGTGTGTGTGTATCCCTCCCTTTTCCCTCCTTCTTCCCCTCCCTCCCTTCCTCTTTCCCTCTTTCTCTCCCCCCCTCTTTCTTTCTCTCTCTGTCCCTCCCTATCTCCCTCCCTCCCTCCCTCCCTCGTCCCTCCCTCCTCCACCCTCCACCCCCCTCCTTCGTCAACACAGATTCCCACAGAGGATCTTTAGAGCAAATATCAAACGATTCATCACGAAGCCCTTGCATAGCTGGCTGATTGAGGTCCAAATGGATCCACTCGCCTCCACATAACAGGTTAATGCATGTCGGGAAGGGAGGGAGAGAGGGGGAGAGAGGGAGAGAGAGAGAGAGAGAGAGAGAGAGAGAGAGAGAGAGAGAGAGAGAGAGAGAGAGAGAGAGAGAGAGAGAGAGAGAGAGAGAGAGAGAGAGACAGATAGACAGACAGACAGACAGATAAAGAGAGAGAGAGAGAGAACGAAGGTTTGGGATGGGAGAGGGAGAGAAAGAGAGAGAGAGAGAGAGAGAGAGAGAGAGAGAGAGAGAGAGAGAGAGAGAGAGAGAGAGAGAGAGAGAGAGAGAGAGAGAGAGAGAGAGAGAGACAGACAGACAGACAGACAGACAGATAGACAGACAGACAGACAGATAAAGAGAGAGAGAGAGAGAACGAAGGTTTGGGATGGGAGAGGGAGAGAAAGAGAGAGAGAGAGAGAGAGAGAGAGAGAGAGAGAGAGAGAGAGAGAGAGAGAGAGAGAGAGAGAGAGACAGACAGACAGACAGATAAAGAGAGAGAGAGAGAGAACGAAGGTTTGGGATGGGAGAGGGAGAGAAAGAGAGAGAGAGAGAGAGAGAGAGAGAGAGAGAGAGAGAGAGAGAGAGAGAGAGAGAGAGAGAGAGAGAGAGAGAGAGAGAGAGAGAGAGAGAGAAAAGAGAGAAAAAAAAACGAAAATTATAAGCATAGAAAAAATCAAATAAAGAGATAAGAATTAGAATGATAACAGACGGATGATTTAATGATGAAAATGGGAGATGAAAGGAGGGAGGAAGAACAGAAGGAGAACAGGAAGGTAAAGAAGTGATTGAGCATGGAAGTGATAAGAAAAAAGAATGTGGATTAAGGAGAGATAACGGGAAAACAGGAGAATAAAGGACAGGGATGAAGAACAGAGGAAGAAAAGAGTATTAAATCACAATCAGATGAACAGCCGATGAACAGAAGAACAGAGAAGCAAAGGAAAGAAAATAATAAAACAAAAATGTAAACAAAGATAATAACAGATGAACAGACGAATAACAACAACAACAAAAGAACAGACGTAGTAACAGAAGAACAGAAAGGATAATGGACAAAACTATACGTAAATAACAGAAAAAGATCTGGAACGAAACGCAGAACAGAGAGACAGAAGAAGAGAACCGCGAAAAGATAGACAAATAAACACAAGAAAAATACTGAAAATAATAATAAGAGAAAAAATGAACCGATATGTCGAAACATCTAACTTGTAAATCAAATGCTAAAACAGAATTTAAAAATAAATAAATAAATAAATAAATAAGATAAGATAGGTAAAGTAAAACAAAAGATAGAGAATAGATGAATAAGAAAAAATAAGATAGATTTTAAGAAATAGAAGAAATCCTTAGAAAAACCCAACATGAGAACCGAAAAAAATGATAACTAACAAACGGAAGAACAGTTAACTTAACAAAATGATTTCCTCTGAGAACAAAAGGCAAAACGCAAAACAATAACATGTATAATTAGAATGGAAGAGAACAAGAAAAGATAGAAAAAAAAGTGAAAAGAACAGACGAAAGGTAAACATGAATAGATATGAATAAACGCATAAACAAGAGAGGCAAATAAAAAAGAGACAGGTATACAGAAGAACAAAAGAAGACAAAAAAAGGAGATAAGTTATACGAAAATGATAGAAACACGAAATAACAACAACAACAACAACGGAAACAACAACAAAACAAAAACATCAAAACAAAAACAACACCAATAGAAACAAAAATAACGAAAAACACGACAAACAAACAAATAAATAAGCCAAATAAACGAAAGAAGAAGTCAATAATAACTAGAAGAATTAGATGATAAATAGAAGAAAGAAAACAGAAGAAATAGAAGAAATAAAAAACAGAAGAAATGAAATAAATAAATAAATAAATGGAAATAAGAAAAGAAGAAAGAAAGAAAAAAAAGAAAAAAAAGGAAAGAAAGAAAGAAAGAGAACCAAACAAAAGAAGAAGAACAAGGAAATAAAAAACAGAAGAATTAGTACGGATGGATAACAGGCAGAAGACGTGAAACTCAAAGCGGCAGGAGTGTCATGGGAACAGCTGGTAATTAACTCGTCAAGGGCAGGTGTTTGCGTGCCGCCGAGGGGACAGATGCTGCCTCTTTGTGCACAGGGAGGGGGGAGGGGGAGGGAGAGGAAGGGAGGGATGGAGGAAGGATAGAGTGATGATGGGGGGGTTGGGGTGGGAGAGGAAGGGAGGGGATAGAGGAAGGGAGGGATAGAACAAGGGAGGGATGGAGGAGGGATTAGAGATGGTGGGAAAGGGAGAGGAAGGGAGGGAAGGAGGGATGGGAAGGAGAGAGAAGGAAGGGAGGGTGTATTATAGGTTTGAGGAAAATGGATATGGAGGGAAGTGGTTAACAAAGGAAAAGGGAGATAAAAAAGGAGGTGTCCCGGAGGAGGACGAGGGAGAGTCCGAGGCTGACGGAAGGACACGTCGATCCTGCTGCGCCTGACGAGGGACCGGCTGACAGAAGGGCTGTGATCCCGCGCCTGATTCGGGATTCGGGGTTGTCTTGGCTGTTTAGGGCTTGTATTTATTTTCTTTTATTTGTATTTTTTATTTTATTTTATCTTTTTTTTTTCGTTTTGTCTCTTCTTGTGTTGTATGTTGGCTTTTTCCTCTCCCTCTCATTCTGTTCTCTCCTATCTTTCTTACTCTCTCTCTTTTTCTTTCTCTCTCCCTATCTTTCTTACTCTCTCTCTTTTCTCTTTCTCTCTCCTTCTCTCTCTCTCTCTCTCTCTCTCTCTCTCTCTCTCTCTCTCTCTCTCTCTCTCTCTCTCTCTCTCTCTCTCTCTCTCTCTCTCTCTCTCTCTCTCGCGTGACTCAACAGTGTCATTCATGTCATAAATTTACATAATCACGGTCTTTGATCCAACCAACACACACGTGAATATTTAGATCAGTCATTTAGTGAGTAAGATATTCATTTATTATTTATCTATTGATTCACTTTCGTTACGGTCTTCCATTTACAAGATTTTTGTGCGAAATTAGTGCTATGTTTTCCTTTCTTTTTTTCTTAAAGTCTTGAAATGCTGACGAACGTACCAATGCGTTCTCATCTTTGTCCCACTCCTCTGTTTTTTCTTCTTTATTCATTATTATTACTGTCACTTCTTACCATTAGCGACGAGTTCTCAGTAGAACACAAAACACACACATGCACACACGCGCACACACACGCAACACGCACACATACACACACATACAAACAAACACACGCACACACACACACACACACACACACACACACACACAAACACAAACACACATACACAAACAAACACACACACACACACACGCGCATACACACATACAAACAAACACACGCACACACATACCGAAGTGTTCTCTGTCCTCTGCCATCACCAAACCTTACGTGCTCAGACCAGAAATGGTGCATATAATAACCTCTTTTTTACTTTGTTTTCTTTTTCTTCATCTTCCTTGAGATAATGCAATCTGGAGTATGATCTGTGATATATAATAATTTTATCTCTGTCTGTGACATTTGGATTTTTATTTTTATTTTTTTTTCTTCTTGTTTTGAGATTAATGTCATTCTTGGTGCGACTCGTTCTTATTACTAGATTTATTTTGCATTAGGTTATATTGCCTCTGATGCGATTCGTAGCATATGATAATAAGAGAACAATTTCTCGTTTTTTCTTATCCAATTTTCGGCCAAATAGGATCCAATATGCAACCTGCAGCAAGCAAGCCTTCTCCTCCTTCTCCACCTTTTCCTCTTCCACCCTCCCCTCCACTTCCTCCTCCTCCTCCTCCTCCCCCCCCCTTTTCTCCACCTCCACCATCATCCTCTAACCCCCCTCCCTCCCCCTCCCCCACCTCAACCCCCACCCCAGAAACTCCGTCCAATACTCACTTCTTATCGAGGTTGATGAACTTCATGTCGAGTGTGTGGACGGAGGTGAAGACGTTGGTGGCGCCCTGGACGACGCTCTCGCGGGTCTCGGGCATGGCGACGGGCGTGCAGTGGGCCAGGAACACGGGCTCGTTCCTCGAGCACAGCGGCAGGTACGACAGGTAGTGCCCCGCCACCAGGACTACCTGAAGGAGGGAGAGAGAGAGAAGGGGAAAGTCAAGGAGGGTAATAGTACGTATTTTAATTAATTTTCTCTCTAATTCAAGGATAAAGATCACAAAGACGCATCACTAATAATTCTATCCATGAAGCACAAATCCCCCCTCCCCCCTCCTCCCTCCCTCCCTCCTTCCCTCCCTTCTAAACAAAACAAAAACGCCAATTATAATTCCAGAACGTCCGTCTTCTATTCAATATTCTAAACAAGTCCTAGATTTTTTATTCACTTACCTCTCCTATATATCTTAATTTTCTCCACTTATCTGCTCTGGAATATCCTTCTCCTCTATTCTTTCAAGACACATTTTTTTTTTACATTTTTCGTCTATTCCTTACGTCTTCTTCTTTCCCTATACTGCACTTTTCCTATTTATTTTTCCTAATATGCCCTAATTCCCTATTATTCCCTTATCTCTCACTTACCCTTCATTATTCACTTCAGTTCACTATTTACTTAATTTCACTTCACTGTCCTATCTTCGAGTAACATTTCCGTTCCTCTTTCGTAGGTTTTTAGGAATGTCTATCTCTTCTTTATCGAACTTTTGAAATCCTAATCTAGTTTCTCTCTAATTTCGTCCCTCGATCTACTCTCGAGGAATTAGCTACTTGTTTCTTCTTCTTCTTCTTTCACTTCTCTCACATGTTTGTACATCATTAACCATTAGCTAATAGCTGATTTTCTCCTCTCTGTTCACTCCTCTTTCTATTTTAAGTCTCTCTCCCCTTGCCCCTCACTCCAGACTTTCCCCAATCCCCTCCCTTAACCTCTTCCTTACCCTCACTGCTCGCTACCACTCGGCTCTTTGCCTAGTTCTCCTATTTTCTTCAATAAGACTTATCCTTATCCCCTTTTCCCTCACATCCTTCGCTAATCCTCCTTCCGTTACCCCTTCCCTTAAGCCCTTTCCTACCCCTTACCTCCTTCCCTCACTCCCCCACGTTCCCCTCCTTCCCCAACTCCCCTACCTTTCCCGAAGCCTCCTCCCTTAACCCCCTCCCTTCCCCTCCTTACCTTCTGGTCCCCGAACCTCATCTGCCTGCGGGCGTTCCTGGACACGTTCATCCTGCAGAGGAAGAGGCGGTCCTCCTCGTGGGCGGCGGTGGCCGTCTGCGCCCCCCGCACCAGCTCCGCCTGCACGGCCGCGTGGTCCTGCTTGTCGATGATGTCGTAGACGCTGTCGCCGTGGATCAGGAGGTCCTCCTTCAAGGGGAGAGAGGTGGGGAGGGGGGGTCGTTAGTTTTTTTCTTTCTTTCTTTAATTTTTATTATTTTTTTCTTTATTTTATTATTATTTTTATGGCGGATAGTTAGTTTGGTTTGATTTTGTTTTGTTCTGTTTTCATTTTTTTTTATATACAGATTCTTTTAGGTCTGTTACTTCCTTCTGTTATGTGTATAAAGCTTGTAACCTGTAAACACACATACACACACGTACATAGGCTTACTTGCATCCACACTCTACACACGCATGTGTTTTAGATTATAAGAAAATATAAATAAACATATAAGCTAAAATAAAGAGACGAAAAAAAGGGAAACAGAGCAATCGGCAACACTATAGACCATAGAAAAATATAGACAAATAGATAACAAGAATAAAAGAGAAAGACGAAAAAGGAAATAAAAGCAGTCGCTAAATGCTAAGTGCGTGTTTGTGTCTGTCCTTGCGTGTGCTTGTGTAAGTGTTTTTGGAGTGTGGGTGTGTGCGTGTGCATGTATTGCATGTAAGTGTCTGTAAGTGAGAGTGTGTCTCTGTGGCGCATGTGCTCATCTACATATTGTCGTGAGTGTGCGTTCGTTTGTCAACATGTGTGTGTGAAATTATATTTCCATGTAGGTATGTGTGCATATGTATATGTGCTTTTATATGGCCGTTTATATGCAGTGTACGTCATAACCGCGTGTGCATCTTGATGACTTTTACGCACGGATGTATGTATTATTCTGCTGATAACATTTTACGCAGGTATAAATGTTTCCATACGTCTGCATGTCGGTATGCACCTTCGTATCTCCGCGGTTATGCGCCCGTATACATCATCATCACGCCCACCCATCACCTATGTAAGTACATCCGCCCGCATTCTCACGACCGCCGCCCGCGCCCCACCCAGCGAGACCGAACAAGAGCGCTTGAGAAGTCCCTCTCTCGCCTCACGCTGCAAACCCCGCCCGCAGACCTTTTGTTATGCTAATGAGCCCCCGAGCGCCGCCCACACCTGCGGCGCCGAGCTCCTTGCCGCGGGTGTGAGTGAGCTTCGTGTTCAGCTGCTCAAGA